GTTGTTTTCACTGCTTCCTCCGTTCATCAACAGTCGCTTACCGGCTGCTTCACGTGAACAAGCTCTAATCTCACTGTGTCTGTCGCTCTGGGGGGGGGGGGGGGGGCTGTGTGTGTGCGCGCAGTCGGTTTCTGATCCTTTATTCCTCCGCAGGTCCGCAAAGAGTACAGCAAATGTTTCCGTCAGTCCCAGTGCTGCGGCGCGCTGCCAGCCGAGGGCCCCCACAGTGCAGCCAAGGCGGCCACGTCTCGATCCACGGCCCGCTACTCATCTGCCACACAGGTACGTACCTGCACTGGGAATCAGAGGTATCAGGGTTTAGGATGAACCAGGATTTAGGAGTTAAGTGTCAGTGGATTTTATTCTCATGCATATATTTTGTAAGATATAAGTTTATTTTATCTTCTCTCTTCTTGAAAAGACTAAAACCACCAATGGACTGATCCTGTCAACAAGTCTTTTCTGTGAAGCCTGATATAATTTAGCTCATATATTTGTGCCATGGAGTCATTATTGTCCAAAGCCGCACGTTGTGATATGAACAGGGCTCTGCAGTGTATTTTAGAAATCACGGTGGTTGTAAATGCTCACTAATGCATCTAATGGGTTTTAATCTGCAGTTGAACTTGGCTGGAAATAAAGGCTCTGTTTGACTGACGCTTGTTAAAAAATCTCTGATGTTTATCGAAGCTGTTTTTCCTTTTTAAAAGTAGCTGCATCTATACCTTTGAAACTCGGAACATACAGCCTTGGGGCTGCAAGCCTTAGACAAACGATGTTGGTCTTTTCAATAAATTCATTGACAAAAACAAAGGTAGAATATAGTTACAGTTATCCTTCAGTAAAGTCTCAAATGTTTTCAGTTCATTTTTAACCTTTTGCTCTAATTTTTATCATTGTCAAGTCAGTCAAATACACAGTTTAGTCACTGAGGTGGAAATCTAACCATGGTGCAGAACAGTGTCACCGTGCTCTTATTGCTGTGCTGACATGTTTTACCTTGTTATAACCTACATCTCATTAAATCACACTGAACCGAACTGAATAAAGTGATTTAAGGCTTCACATTGTAACGCTAAGGCTCGGTTATCAAGTTATTAGACAGCAGAGGTTATATATCAGAGGGTGGGATTGAATGTTCCCTTGGTCAAAAAGTGTCAGGGTAAAGTTTTATACAGTTTTTCTTCTTCAATGAACGTGATTGTGGCTGGTAGGTAGATCTTATTTCAGAAGACGGAGACAGATGAGAGAAGGCTTTTGAACAGGACGTCAAGGTCTTCTCTGGATCTATCTTAAGAGCACTTCTGGGAATTTGGTGGCGGCTTCTGCTCTTACTATGGAGAGAGAAAGAAAAAAAAGAAGCTCAGAGCCCATCTCTCAAATTACAAGTTGAAGAGATTGTCAGTGTATCCATTTTTATTTATTAATTTTATTTTTTGGGATCAATAGCACACAGGGTTTTCTTTTGTTTTGCTGCAGCACGACCATGTCATCAAGCAGTGGGCTGGCTGACTCACGTACAAAAGTGTAGGCTTCTTGAATCACAAACCACTTAGCCACTCAATCCTCGGGGCCAGAAAGCTTTGAATAACAGCAGCACCATGTTGAGTCCTGATCAATGGCTGCTTTTCTCTCCACCCAGAGCCGCATCAGGCGGATGTGGAACGACACTGTGAGGAAGCAGTCGGAGTCCTCCTTCATCTCAGGAGACATAAACAGCACCTCCACACTCAACCAGGGTAAGCTACCCTTTCTTCCACCACCACCGCCAGACGCAACACATACGCTATTCTCTTTGTGATGAGGCTGTGAATTCACTATAAACACTTCAATGAACGCAGCCTACATGGCTCCGTGGCAGCTCGGAAACAGGGAAGAGATAAGGCCTGATTCAATGTTGCATTTCTCTTCGCGCTAAGCAATCAAAAACAAAACAAAAAATAGCATTAAATGCTGCCAGTGCGTCAAAGTTCGTAGCATATATTCCTGCTCCTCCCCTGCTCGCTGCGATCATCTGAAAGCAGAGAAATAAGAGACGAGTGAAGAGGTGCGAATTGTAGCCTGGCATAAAACGTTACTGACGAGAACCGGAGTTCAAATCATAACATTCGGAACTGGAGAGGCTCATCGTCGCCCCGCCATGATCGTCAGGGTGAAGGTGGAGGAGGAGCGATGAGTAAAGTCAGGCTGAGGTCAGAGCAGGGGTTTTTGGGAAAGTTCCCAGTATCATGAAGCTCAGGCTCCAGACTGTGCCAGCTCAGATTTGGCTTTAGTTATGAATTACTTGAGAGATGTTTTTTTTAAACGCACACACACATGCCAGCGCAGGGTTTCTCAGCAGTCCGTCCAAATGACTGAGGGCAGTTATTACATTCTTGAGGATTTACACAAGCATGCTGGGGATGATAGGGATACTGTATTATTCATGGCGGGCCACTTAGACATGTTTTGTCTGGTGTCTCGACTGGACGAGTTTGTTTGGATGAATTTGTTTCACGTAAACACTGCAGCTGATTGTGTTGCTGCGCTTTGGTCAACACTCGTCGCGGTAACGTTGTTTGTCAGTTACATCGACGGACTGTTTGGATGATGGTTTTTTTTGCTCTGACCAACATTTCTATGGTTGCTTTGTCCGTAATAGAAGTCAGACAGATTGCCGGTCATAAATCTTTAGCAGTGTTAGAATCCGGACAGCGAATGTCAGCATTTGTTTATGTCAACCGACGAGCGCACCACCACCACCGCCGCCGCCGCCGCCACAGACCATGAAGTGCAGAACCTCCTGCTCTTTTTTTCCTCAACTGTTTTTTTTTCCTTTCTCACTCCTGATTTTTCTCCTTTTCTCTATCTTCCTGTTATTTCAGGGATGACTGGCAACTACCTCCTAACTAACCCTCTCCTCCGAACCCACGACACTAACCCTTATAACAACCTGCTGGCAGAAACGGTCGTGTGCAACACCCCCTCTCCACCGGCCTTTCACTCCCCAGGTGCACATCCACCCTCCACCTTTATTCCTGCAAAGATTTGTGTTTGTTCTAATTTGTTTTGGGAAATATACTAATTTGCTTTGTCGAGGGGAGTCCGAGAAAAAGATTGATACCATTCCTCCTTTGTAGTGGGAGGTTATCTGTCATTTTTACACTTGAGTCTGATCTAGCATGTTAATTCATGAGCTTTAGAGGAGCTAGTCACTGGACATTGTTCCCATGAGACTACTCCCCTCTCTTTCCAGAATTTATGCTAAGCTAAGCTAACCACCTCCTGGTTGAAACCTCAATGGCATCAATCTTTTCTGTAACTCTCTGCAAGAAGGTGAATGAGCCTATTTCCCCAAACTGTTGAAGTGTTACAGATTTATTCTAAACATGCAACACGTGAAGTTTGTGCCTGTGACACAGTGTGAATGAACATTTTGAGAATAATGACACCAGATTTATCATTTGTTCCTCTTCACTCACATCTTCTGCTTTGTATTTTTTTCAGTCGTTCATATCAATGCAAGTTCCTCCTCCATAAACACGAGGAGATAAATGTCTCAGACGTTAATGCTATCTTATCTGCGCTACACTGAGCAGACGTGTGGGAATTCCTCTCTGTCGAATATGAGTTTCACACGTTGGTCCAGATCGTTTATTCCTCTCCCCCTCACGTCTGATATTTGCATCATACTTGTTGAAATCTTTACACTTCAAATATGAGCGAGCTTGATTTAAATCACGTCAGTGTTTATGGTGACCTAGTTCCTCTCTCTCTCTCTCTCTCTCTCTCTCTCTCTCTCTCT